ATGAATGGATGGGTAGAGATATCTAGGTACGTGTTTTGGGGGGAAAGTCGTAGACTGCAGGATGATATCTACTCAAATTTTATGCAGGAAGGGACCAAGTGTTTCTTTTTTTTGGGCAGAATTTCTACGGCACGTAGATACTCTAGAGAAAGAAAGGAATTCCAACCAACTTTCACCTTGGATTGGGGAAGTGGTTGTTATATAAATAAATGTAAACTTGAAGAGAGAAAGCAGGAAATTGGGGGAGATAGAAAGTTGTTAAGTGAAAAAAGTATATTATAAAATTTTTTGCAATGTTGAGGCTGAAATTTGTCAAGATTTGACGCCGATCTGGAAATATTAGGTACTCATAACACATAAAGTTATATTGATAAGTCAGATATGGTTTTTCCAACGTTGGTCAGATGAAGAAATCGCAGTCAAATCATAGAGCTTTGTAAAAATGTTGTCTAACTCAAGGAAGTAAATACACCTTTATAAAACTGGTATTAAATCCTTACTCACTGGAGTACGTGCACATGACTACCGACACTGGTAATAACGGGCATTATCGTTTAGTAATGAAAAATTTACCACCCAGAAAGAACCTACTACCAATTCGGTAAGAAGTTACTACCAAATCAATACCAGTGCCGAGTATATATGTAACTCTACCAGATTTTTAAGTGTAGTTACGGGCACCGGCCTGCACGAAGCGATAGATACGAGTTCAAACTTTCACCTTGGATCGGGTAAATGGTCGTCATATAAATAAATGTATTTTAAACACATTTAGTTATATGACGGCCATTCATAAGTCCTAAACTTGTGAAGAGAAAGTAGGAAGTTGGGGAAGATAGATAGTTATGAAGTGAAAGAAAGTACAAGATAAAATTTGGTGCAATCTTAAACTGAAATTTTGTCAAGATTTGACGCCAATGTGGAAACCGTAGGTACTTAAGAAATAATATTGACAGCTAAGATTGGAACAGGTCGGTATATAAATAAATGTGAACTTAAGGAGGGACATTGAGGGAAGTTGTTAAATGAAAAAGATATAATTTATGAAATATTTAGAATGAAGATCTTGCGAGAAATTTCCAGATTTTGACACTTTTTGAAGGAGGAGATCTCAAGTTTAAGAAGCCCTCAGAAAAATTGGAACTTATCGAAACTGGCCTAAAAAAACTCAGTCTTTCCATTAATCAACTTGCTGACTCGTTCAGAATTTCAAAATAAATTCCAATGGGCGAGGAATGATTAAAAATGTGCTGATTTTGGCGATTAATCATCGAGTCCCACGTGAAGAGACTTGTTTCCTTTAAATGTGCAAAAACTTCTTGTAAACCCCACCGAACGCGAAATTTTTCTTGTAGATAAGTAGGTGCATACACCTCAATTCCACTCTAAAATAAAAGACTGGCCAAATTAGTGAATACTTTATGTTAAATCTTGTCATCTGTTTGGATGGCTGCACTCTTAGAAATCCAGTGTTGAAGTAATGCCAAGCTGCATATGACTCTCCCAGAGTTGTATTTAATACCGTATGTTTAATAATAGCTCTGTATTAAAGTTTTACCATATGGTGGCAAATTTTTTATACGTACTTTTATCACCAAACGGTAGCAACTTCAACACCAAGAAATCACTACACCTGCCCTTCTCTACCAGATTTCTAAGAGTGTGGATAAATGGAAATCCTACCTTTGAGCCCTTTTTCTCTCAGGGAAAGCTAAATCCTTCCCGTTCTTTCTCTCTTCATCCACAATTTCCGTCCGGATTTCCATCCCATTTAAAAAAAAGTGTGCAACTACATCTGTTCGTAAACCAGACTTGAAGCGTATTTTATCCAGTAGCATAAAAATGAAGTGGATGCGAGCCAAGTAGAGATGCACGAGTGGAAATGTCCACTAAAGCATGCCCGGAATTTAAATTGATGCTCGGATAACTAAGGCCAATATTACGATAAGTTGGTAGGAAATTTATGCCAAAATGGTCGAGAAGCTATGCATTTATTTTCATGCACATTGATTCCCTGCATTTTTATTTTTATGATATTGACATTGCACAACTGCAGATTTACAGAGGTACTTATTTACCCTGAACTTTAATTTATATCCTCATAAGGCCAATGTTTTAATAAATCCCTAGGGTATTTATGTACACCAAGCCAATGAAAAATGACTAAAATGCTGCTATTTTGAAGGGCTGGACCTTGGCCAAGTCTCAACCAAAGTTATGAAATCCATTGTTTCCTCTTGAATGAAAAAGCGGGTTTGGCCTGACCCCCCTGAGTCTACCGCTCCCCTGAAGAGTGTATAGTGGCCATCGGTGAAAGTAGGGTTTCGGGTGCAAGAAGTGGTCATGTGCAAGAAATGACGGGAAGAAAATGTTTTTTTTGCTGGTATTTTGACCTGAAAGGAATGCACGGCGCTAGAAACTACGCCCGCTGCTGTACTTCATACGGCGCTTGGCTGAACGGCGCATATTTCTTGCACTTTTTTTGCAATTTCTTGCATCTCGCATTTCTTGCATTGCTTGCATCGCAGTGCAAAAAATGTTGCAAATCCGCAAGAAAAGAAACACCTGCAAGAAATGCAAGGCGCAAGGAACTATACTATATACGCCCCGCCGCTATATTGGGCGCTATATTGGATGCTACATATTTCTTGCAGTTTCGGGTACCTCGCATTTCTTTGCAGTGCAAGCAATGCAGCAAACCCGCAAGGGACGAAACACTGGGTGAAAGTTGAAAAGAAATCCCTAGATACTTATTAGAACGAGTTGTTGAGGACAAATCCGGGACGAAATAAATTCTGCGATCCCAATTTCTCGTCCTTCCTTCCTTCCTCCCTCCTACCTTTCCTGCCCAGCCAGCCAGGAAAATACTCGTAATACGAACATACATAAGCCAACTTTCACTCCATCTTTTTAATGGAATGAAACCTATTTTTATTCGGACGGGATGAAATCTGGGACGATGTTTTGTTCTAAAATGAAACCATGTCCTGCTTTTATTGCGACGTGGTAACAAAATAATGTCCCATTTATTTTTCAGGGTTTATTGTGTCATTGATAAGTTTTAAGTTCCTGTGATAGGTAGGTACGTATGCTTAGATACGTATTTGTGGGCTATTTTCTACTTTGGATGACGCAAAATTTTTGAAATTTGTTACTCAAGGAAAAATCAGTGTAATATTTATGCCGTTTTTAGTTATGTCGTTACAAAAAGCGGGGTGAAAGATTAGCTATTTGGCACGCTTAAATAGTTGCGTGTCGTTTTTGAAATTATTCTTTTCAGCAATGTATGATTAAATATTTTACAAAAGTCAAAATATTTAAAATTTCGCAAATACGTATTTAAGCAAATTTCAATTTGTTGAAAAACAATCCATCGTGTCCAACTAATTTAATAGTAAAATTTCTTATCAGGGGAAAAAATAAGTGTAATTATTTAACGTCGTTTTTATTTTTCATGACTATTTTATATAAGTTGCTTATCGAAAGGTAATTTTTTCATCACGCGTAATAACTTACTTTTTTTGAAGTTTTTTTAGCTTTACCAAAGTATTAATTTTTTAATCTTGTGAATGAAAGGTAAGTTATAATTAATTGGGAGATATTTCTTTTACTAATGGATCAACTTTCTAACAAAATGAATATGATTTTTCGATTTTTTTTTAGAAAATACAAATTTGTTGAAAACTAGGAAACTTTGACCCAAAACTATTTATTTCGATTTGCATTAACTTGAATAAATTTAAAAAATCAAGAATGATTTCTTAACTTGGAAATGGAAACTGGCAAAATAAAATTGCTGAATCTGTAAGATTTCTCGAAACTTAGGAAAAATCGATGTAAGTTTTTGACGCCATTTTCTATTTCCATAAATATTTCATATATAACTAGTAAATAAAAGATAATGAATTTTTATCGCCTCTAATTTTAAACGAAGTACAGTTAGTTAACGAAATTTGGAATTTCAATGAATATTTTCTGCATGATGCGTAAATTTTTCGACAATTTTAATAAAGGTCCAAATTTCACAATATGTTAATTTTCGCGGATATTTGTGTTAAATGTGTAGTAAACGCTTAATTTTAAAAAAATTAAAAAAAAACCGAACATCTTATTGTTCCAAGTTTGGCCTTTAATTAAAACGGATTTTCGAATTTTGACAACTTTCCAAAATTCAGGAAATAATGAAACGTGGGCTTAAAGAGAAACAGTCTTCCTTACTTTAAATTTACGGCAAAACAACTTTGGGGGCCTTTCATTTCACGGCTTTTATTTGGACTGTTTGGTGGAAAGTTTGTGGGGCTGAAAGCACTTGTGTGTGTTTCCGAGTTAATCTCCTCATCCATATGCATGAGGGGCTGAGGAGGAGTGCATACAATATGCATGACGGGAGGGAGGCTGTAAATATCCGACGGTGCTCCCATTACCACTTTCACCAGGTCGCCAAGACAGAGACCAAGGAAGAAAGAAAACACTTTCTTTCCAAAGTAATTAGGCACCCGTGTGTGTGTGTATCTTTGGGTCGAGTCAATTCAGAGTCACTGGTGCAGCAGAGAGTTTTCCAGCCAAATTAATGACTTTGCAAATTCAAACTAATACGAATTTTCAAAATCAGAAAGCTACCAATTTTTAAATTTTTTAGGTAAATTATTGTACAAGACATAAATTTAAAATAAGTCAATTTTGAGAATAAAAACTAATTTTTAAACTAGATAAGGTCATAAATTACTGAAAAAAATTGAATCCTCACAAAATTTGCGAACAATTCGAACCTTAAGATATTCCATTCGTTTATAATTCTGCATACAAATTTGCACGGATTCCTTAATCTTCTTGAAGTCAAATGCATTCTCAAAATTTCGCACAATCCCGTCAAATTAGGAATGAGGAATTTTGTCATTTCGTAAAGTAAAATTCCCCAATTACTTATTATTCTAATTAGATAAATTTTGCCTGAAAATGTGTCCAAATTCTTTAACTTCCACAAAATTGGGGTCACTTACCCCCATCTCCACTCCTCCCGGACGAATTGGCATTGGCGATACTGGTTGTGGGTGGAGTGGCAGAGTTTTTGGAGTAGCTGCGTCCACCTCCTCCTCCTCCTCCGTCCCCCTCGGGGGCATAATCCCCCTCTAAATCCGTGTCAAATGAAACCTCGGTTCGACAGCAGGAGGAGAACGTTCTCGGCCGGTGAGCGTCCGCGCGCGACGGCGGCGGCGTCGGGGTGGGCGTTCGCGTGAAGGACGGCGTGTGAATGGGCGACGACGACGACGCTCCCTCCTCCTCCGTCTTCCCCCCTCGTTCCGCAAACCGTTTCCGCGATAACCGCGACTGTGTGCAAAATCAAAAACAAAATGTGTCTGGCGCGTAACAAAATTGGTGGAGGCGAAGCTAAAGTTAAATAACTTATTTTCGGGGTAATAAAATTGTCACCGATTAGTCGTATTGGTTTGATTGTGACCATGCCGATTGGGTCGTACTCATGAAAAAACGTGTAAAGTGTGAAGTTTTTTGTCTTTTTTACAATTCTACGTCTTTAATCATCAATGTTCTTCAACTTTTAAAAATGACAAATTCGTACAAGCACAAAACGACATTGAATAATTACATTTAGTTATTCGGAGTTTAAAAATCAAGATTTTTTGGTGTGCAAATTTTCTTTCGTCCAAATCATTAAAAAATAGAATAGTATATTTCGAAATTTTAGTTATTGCTAAAAGTTTGATCATGAAAAGAAAATAGAAAATAAATAAATTTCTATCGGCGTAGGTTTAAATTAAAAGTTTTTGAAATACTTATTAAATTATTTAAATAATAATTAATTATTATTAAATAATTATTGAAATGAAAATTATGGTACAAATATTCTTTAGAACAAAAAGTGGCGTTGAAGTATTGCATTTATTTATTTTTTATTTATTTTATAAATAACAAACAGGAATTGTGTAGCAATCTTCTACAAATATGTGGAAAATTTTGACGAAATATTTAAGAAAACGTGTCAAAATGTGGGATTTTTGTCAACATAAAATGTGATTATTTTAAGTAGCCGTCTTTGAAATAATGAAAGATCTCAAACTACTTTTGCAATATGAAATATTTCTAAAAATTAAATATGACGTTGAATAGTTACATAATTTTTCCCAGGATAAGAAAATCATACTTGACTCAAAAAAAATATTACTTATTTAAATAGAAAATTTCAAGATCTGCAAAAATTTCGGAATGCATTAAAATCATTAACAAGTCGTTTCCGGCTGGGAAATTTCTTCGGTGACAATTTTATTACCACGTCAGTCTCATTTTTTACCAAGTTTCCCTGCAAATTATATATCTCTTTTTGAGACACAAGTTTCATTATGGATTTTTGGGGAATAACTTATATGAAAAAATACTTCAAAAACTACCAAAAAAACGAGAAATTTTACGATAACAAAATATACAAACAAAGGTAAAACTTTACGTAAATAAAATTGAGAGGTGAACGAACATGTGCACAAAAATTATTCAGACACAAAGACACACAATTTTATGACGCTATTGACTCCAGGACATGAAATTATATGCAAATTGAGGTCACATAAATGCGTCCAACTTACTAGGCGCGTATTTTTACGTATGTACATTTGCACGTGCAGGTGGTCGTGGCATTTATATTGCACATTAAAATTTACTGCTCACTGACATCATGCCCAGACTGGGTTAGTTATCAATCAAACCCAACTGTCAACCCGGCACGGAAAAAAATGAATGCAGAAATGGTAAAGTTGCGAAATAATGTGCAAAAAATAATCATGCAAGTTAAAAAATAAAAACAATGAGAATTTTGTGTCGATTTTCGCACACAATTTTTGAAGCCTGTTTTTATAAGTATAAATTTGTCTAAAATGAGTGACTTCTCTAAAATAATTTCAAAATTTAGGATGCAATACAAATTTTGGGTGTCATACAACATTAAATAAAATTAATTTCATTCATTAATTCGTCATTTGTGAACAACGTGCAAAAAATTGTGTCAATTTTTTGCAATTTCTCACCAGTTCGAAATAATTTTGATATAAAAAGGACTTCTTTGCGAAATAATTTAGAATTTAAGATGCAAAAAAGTGGCACATTTCAGATCAGATTTTTATTTATACATATGTGCATCATTCATCAATTCATGCAAAAAATATGGTAAATGTGCAAATTAACAATAAGGTAAGGTGCAAGATAAGTAGGAGATGATTAGCAAATGAGATATTCGGGCTAATTAACATATTAGGAATAATGATGGATTAGTGAGTAAAAAATAGTGCAAAAAATTTCGCATACCAAAAAACCAACCTTGATGGACTGAAAAAGATGCGCGTCCGACTTGGAGACAAATTTACTCGCCATGCGGCCCAACAAGCGTCCTCCCAAACTGGGCGAATTTGGCTGGCTCATGATACCAACGTCTCCTCCGATTCCACCGCCGCTCGGACCGCTTGGACCAGACGCGCTCGCGCCCCCGCTCTCGCGGCGCGGCGGACTTGCGCTCCTCCTCCCCAGAAAAGACGACGATGACGACGGGACCGGAAGTGGGGACGGTTCGCGACTCGACTCTGACCCGTCGCCGCCGCTCAACGTTTTCTTGCGCCGATTGGCGGATGACCAGGCGGGCACGGGGGAGCGCGTGCGGGGTCGGCGCGGCGACTTTTTTCGGACAGGGGCACCACCTTCGGGGGGTTGATGTTGCGATGAGCCGGACGAGGGGCGGGGTGGGTCGTCATCATCGTCGGGGTGGTGGGGGTCCATGATGGGAAATCTGAAATTGAGTAAGTTTCCGAAGAAATCTTTAATAAGGGGAAAAATTTGTAAAATATGGAGGTAAAATGCCAAATACAAAATTTGTGCGTAAAATTTAATATACTTTAATGTTAGATACGAGCGTCCACTGGGTACAATTTTGAAAAAGTGTTAATTTCTCGTGGAGGGAAAGTGAACAAATTATTTTGTAAGAAAATTTATAAGATTTGAGATTAAAACGCCAAATAGAATATTTTTATAAAAACTTATGTCCAATTTTATTACAGGTTTAATTTATTTATAGCGGATTTTTACAAACCCGATTTCAACCCGAAAAAAATTGTCTATTTTTATTTTTATTTCATTCGCATATCTCTACTTTCTCTAGCTATTTAGTTTTCTGTTGTTTTTTATTAATTTTATAAACACAAGTTAAAAACGCGAAGTTTTGAAGGAGCAAAATATCTGAATTGTGCCATGTACAAATAATTATGAAAAATATAAATTGTGTGATTAAAACGCCAAGTGGAAAATTTCTACAAAAATATTTGTGGTATCTAAATCTAGATCCGAATGTAGTTGTCGGTAGTTGGTAAAAACCGATTTATCCAAGTTTACAATCCAACGCAAAACCTATCTCTTTTATTTTCATCTCTCATCCTTATCTCTACTTTCTTCAATTATCTGGTTTTCTTTTTTCCCCTAATTTTCTGACCACAAGCCAAGAACCAAGTAGCGGGAAACAATTGGATTTCAGAAATCCGGAAAACTTTCTCTTTAAGAAAAGTGGGCTGTGTGGTTGGAAAAAGCAATAAATTTCAATGTGGTCGTTAAACCAGGTGAGTGAACCGCACAAATTACGGAAAGCTCGTTCCCTTCACAAATGCAATCCAAGTTTTCTCTCTACGACGCTCTCCCCGTAGACAAATTTCTCTAATTTTCCGACTTTCTCTCTCCCCCTCAACCTCAACTTTTTGATCCTATTTACAAATAAATGGCTCAAACGGTGCCAAAAAAAGTCAGGGGAATGTTTCCACTAGAATTTCGACTTCCTGCAACTGACAGGTTTTCAACTTGGTTGAAATAATGACAAGTGAAAACGAATCGTTTTTTTGCAACTTTTTGACACCGTGACAAAAAAAGTGTGAACGGAGTATGTCAAAATCAGGTTAAAGGGGATGTAGTTTTTGATACAGCAGGTTATTTAAATGAGACAAATTTTGAAATTTGAAGAACACTAGGGTTCAAAGATTAGTTCAAAATCGGAAATTTCAAGAATATCCTATTTTTCACACTTTTCCCCAAATTTGGACACCTTAACAAAAGATTGTGGTATATAGTATGTCAAAATCATGAAAAGGCTTTTGATTTATATTGAAATAACGCAAATTTTGAAACCTTAATAAAAATTAGGATTCAAATTTTAATTCAGAATCAGAAATTTGACCAAATTTTGACACCTTTATAAAATTTTGTGTTATTTTCAAGTGACAACTCGTACAATGAGATGAAGTGGGTTCAATTACCTGATACGTTGAATTCTTTGATAAATAGTTCTATAAGTGACTCAAATTTTGAGACTGAAAAAATTCAAAAAAACTACGACTACAATTTTTACTCCTAAAACTAGAAAAATTTTAGCTATGGATAAGAAAAGCTAAATTTTTAAACTTTTGGCAAATTTTGACACCTTAACGAAAAAATTGTGCATTGTTCTAAATGCTAAAATCATAAAATTAGGTTTTGCTCTTATAATGTCCTTGCATTGCATTTTACTAATAACTTAACTACTTCAATTACTGAAATTAGAGTGAAAAACTCACGGAATCAATTTTCTATCTTTTTAATTCTCGAAACTTTAAAATTTCTATGAAGTTTTTTTAACTCTCATAAACAAATTTGAGCAATGCTTACTCTCTGCTTTAATTTTTTAACCTAATCTCTTCTCACCCCAGAATTTATCTAAATACTACGCACACTACTACAAGTTTACTCGAAATCGGAGAAGAAAACACCCTAAAATTACGGGAACATATTTGTAATAATTCAAAATACACAATTTCCCAAATTTCCTCCAAAAATTGTAAATAATTACCAGCAGTAGTGCTTTCACTCCTTACTTATCTTTCTCCTTTAACTTTCTCCCTAATCTCTTCCCACCCCAGAATACAAAAGCCTACGCACACCTCAAGTTTACAAGTCGCAAAATCCCCCAAATTACGGGAACATATTTTACAACGATGATGACACGAATTCTGCGCCTACTTTCACTCTGGCCCCGATCGCACTCATCCTCCTCAATTTTATACCCTCAGCTCATCCACCTCCTCACAAAATCTCACCCATCCCACTTTCCATTCCTTCTACGTCGCTACAACAATTATTAACGGAAAACAAGGCGATATCAAAAATCAAAGAGAGAAAAAAAGTATCTCTTTCATTCCCATTAATAATTAGCAATCGGTTGATTTCACTCACTCATCTGCCTCATTTTATGCTACGTCACGTCGTACGTCTCACTTTCACTTGTATCTCCATCAAGCCTGGATTTTAAAAAAAGAGGAAAAACATCATGACAAGTGGTTGCACAATCGTGATCAACAAGTTGTTTTTTCACCCGCTGACAACATGTTTGTCCAGATTTATCAAAGGAGAAGAAGACAAAACATACACGGCGACAATAAAAAAATGGAGAGGAGAAATAAATAAATAAATGATGGAAACATCATCCCCGGGCGGGCGGACGAAAACGACGGATGACGCTTTCTCTTTGTGTCCAAGGGAAAAAAAGAGAAAGTTGCTTCACGTGGAGACAAAGTGATGGATCGGACCGTACAGAAAAGATGGGGGTAGATTTTTTGAGGGGGGAAGTTTGACCCTTGACACGTGGTATGAACCATGCCACGTGGTATTGATGAGACAGATGACACGTGGGATGTCTTGACCGCATAAAAACTTGATGGCATTCTGCATGCAGGACCCTCCTTGAGATTTCTCTGTGTAGGACATCATGTTTGTGTAAAGTTGTTTTGTTTTCGTGTCAGAGCATTCTTTTTGACTTGATTTAATTTACAGTGAAAAAAAGAACGGTAGCGTGAGAAAGTTTGTTTTCTGTTGAGTGATGATTTTTAAAGGGGAAGTTTATAATTCTGGGAGCACTGTTCATCTCTTTGTACTTGTGATTATTCGCTTCAAGCTGATTTATCTCATCGAGTTGAAAGGTAGTATCAAATTTTGGATAGATATTTAGTTAGAAAAATTGGGCATATCAGATTTATGGATGCGAGTTGAAAAATGACTGCTAGAGTTTTTTTTGTTAAAGAGACGCAAAAAAGTGACTCGTACGTACAACGTATACAGTTTTTTTTACAAAATCAACAACCAATAGATTATTAGTTACTTTTAGAACTTGATGTTGGCAAAATGGAAAAATACGATCTAATTACTTGCTCTTTTAAATTTTTATCCAATAATTGACTAACGACGTGTTACTCAAACAATTCTCATTTTCCCCACATTTCTGAATTTCACCATTGTAAAAAGAAACTAAATTTATTTATTAAGCAAAAACAAGCAATCTAGCCAGGTTATTGCACATTTTATATTTTAGCCTCGCTCAGAAAAACTAATGATAATCATGTGTAGAAAATGCATGGTGAAAGCGAGCGGGTTGCATGCATGCATATTTTTTTGTAGAGTAGAATACATGGAAATTGGTCAGTGTGTCGCATATCGTGTAGTGTCATGTCATGTCATGTCAGAAATGGTATAATTACCGATATACCCGATTCCCCTCGGTCTCCTCGAGCTGGACGAGACACGTACATTCGTATTTATCCACTGCCATGGCACGTCACGTCAATTTGATGCGAACAAAGTTGACAATTACCAGCGGACGAGTCGACGGGTCATCGGAGCAAATACGGTACCGTTGACATGTGTGTGTAATTGGAGTGGGAGCAAATGTGTGATGGTGATTATATGGAAAATGGAGAAGTTTTTTTTTGTGAATTGGATTGCTTCATGATATTTTTTGACCAATTAGAGAAGTATTTTTGTTTTAAAGAATTGCTCGTATTTACGATTAATTTTCAGTTAAATTATTGAAGGAATTGTAAAAAATAATATTGCATATGCTTTAAGGGAATAACTGACAATAAATTAGCAATATAAATTTGCACGTGAGACATACCTGACTAATACTAGATTGTTTAGCGATACTACAAAGTGCGACACTTCAAAATTTTTAACATTTCTATAAAAAAGTAAAACATTGGAACTTTCCTACAAGTTTTCAACCATATTTTTTCAAGGTGCAAATTCCTTCACAATTCGTACTACTAGAAATTCTACTACGCCTCAAAAATATACCTTTTAAGCTTTATTATGCATCTTGACCACTATTTTTCACTCTGACACTTAATAACACGCGTCCAGCCGAAAAGGTTGTCTGTGCGGTTGGTTATTCGTAATGGTTGGCTGGCTAAACCGTGTAAATAATTTGATTAGCAGCTTTCCAGGGTGTGGTCTGGTTTGGCTCAACTTTGAAATTTTCCCCAAAATCCATCTCCCATTTACTCCGCTAAATACTAATGGTCCCGCTCAGGTAAAAGTGCACTTTACATAAAACAATTGACTCCTCGTAATGAAAAAGTGGTGTATTTTACGCCGCAAAATTCGTAACTAGAGCTATGTTTAGGACAAACATGGAGCAATTGTCTCTCCGTAATGAGGAATTTTTTGACCCTTAAAATTCCAAAGAGCAAACCACATACACCTGTAAATTCAACGGGTGAAAGTGGTGGGTCGCTTTTACCCACGAATTGTCCATCCAGCCCAGGTAAAAGTGCACTTTACATAAAACAATTGTCTCATTGAGTGAATTTTACATACAAAATTTCGTAAGTTGAGTTATGTGTAGGCCAAACCAAAAGTTGTCTCCTGGTAATGAAGAAATTTGCCTCGTAAATAAAATTCATAAGGTGAGGAAAGAGCAAACCAAAAGCCAAAAAACCACAT